CTTCAAGTCTTCAGAATCCTTCTGAGTCTCTGGGTTTTGCAGCCTTTATTTGACATACAAATTGGTTGGAGGTGGTGATTAGTTTAGGGATGTGGTATTTTCACTGAACTAGTGATGGAGCTTTGTTAAGAAATTAGTATTAAAGGGGACAGAAGAAAAGTGCCTCCTAAAAATGGAACATTTTGGCCTTGGACCCGTTTAGTACTGAGCAAGTCCTGATGAATGCTTTTGCACTCTCTGCCCCCATTGTTCTCAGTATTTAGTGTGCATCTGAGTAAGATTCTCAGATTCTGTCTCCCCCAGAGTCTGAATGTAGGAGGGCTGGAATGGCCCAGTATTCAGCATTTTTAGGGAGTATCTCTGGTGACAAATGGTTCAGCCACTATTTGTCCTGCCCTCTACCCGCAACTGAAAAACTGCCTGATGCATGTGTCTGGGAGTCAATTTTCGATTTAAAAACCATAAAGCCTCTGCTTCTGGATGGTCCAGCTCAGATGGCCGCAACCAGCAGGGCAGGCCTGATTTGCTTGGGAGGGGCAGAAGAGACAGCTGCAGAGCCCTGGACCACCTCAGCGTCTGCGCTTGAGTGTCCTGCTAGCCCCTCTAAAGTCACCTATGTTACTGCATCTAGGGTCTGTCAGTCGCCTCCAGGCTGACGCTATCGTAGTGACCTAAGGCTGGTGTCTGCCCGGCGCTGGCTCATTCAGGAGCCACTGGAATGATCAATGACCGGGCAGCCGGGCTCTCCTCTCGCTGCCGGTGAATCAGCTGCCATCTGCCTCGTCCTGTTCCCTTCTCCATGGCGCAAGGAGCACTTGAGCCAAGGCTGACTCGCGTCTGGCTAATGGCTTTTCTGTGTCATGCTTTGTCCTTGATCCCATATATTTTTCATACGTAAGTGGGTTAGAGCTCCTGAAGACGTTGCAGTGGCAGATATTTCCCTTCCGCCAAGCTCCCCACTGAAGCCCCTGACAGGATCTGGGTTAAGGGGTATCTGCCTCAGAGGCAGAATCAATACTTTAAAAAAAAAAATCAAGGTGAAAAATCACATAATTTAAAACTGATCATTTTAAAGTCGATTCAGTGGCATCTGGTGCATTCAAAATGCTGCACAGCCACCACCTGTATCCAGATCCAAAACGCTTTCATCTCTGCAAAAGGGAACCCTGTGCCCATTTCATTCGTTTGCTAGTAAGCCACGTGGCATGGAGAAAGTCTGTAGCCTCTCAGAGTCATCTTCCTCATCTGTAAATACCTACTGGGGTGAATCACTGAGAGTATTAGAAATGAATACAAAGCCCCTAATTGGTGCCTCAAACTAATAGGCAGTCAATTGTTATACTGTATCACCATCATCTTCATCATCGATTCTATGATCAGTTCTCTGGCTTCAAGTCTTCAGAATCCTTCTGAGTCTCTGGGTTTTGCAGCCTTTATTTGACATACAAATTGGTTGGAGGTGGTGATTAGTTTAGGGATGTGGTATTTTCACTGAACTAGTGATGGAGCTTTGTTAAGAAATTAGTATTAAAGGGGACAGAAGAAAAGTGCCTCCTAAAAATGGAACATTTTGGCCTTGGACCCGTTTAGTACTGAGCAAGTCCTGATGAATGCTTTTGCACTCTCTGCCCCCATTGTTCTCAGTATTTAGTGTGCATCTGAGTAAGATTCTCAGATTCTGTCTCCCCCAGAGTCTGAATGTAGGAGGGCTGGAATGGCCCAGTATTCAGCATTTTTAGGGAGTATCTCTGGTGACAAATGGTTCAGCCACTATTTGTCCTGCCCTCTACCCGCAACTGAAAAACTGCCTGATGCATGTGTCTGGGAGTCAATTTTCGATTTAAAAACCATAAAGCCTCTGCTTCTGGATGGTCCAGCTCAGATGGCCGCAACCAGCAGGGCAGGCCTGATTTGCTTGGGAGGGGCAGAAGAGACAGCTGCAGAGCCCTGGACCACCTCAGCGTCTGCGCTTGAGTGTCCTGCTAGCCCCTCTAAAGTCACCTATGTTACTGCATCTAGGGTCTGTCAGTCGCCTCCAGGCTGACGCTATCGTAGTGACCTAAGGCTGGTGTCTGCCCGGCGCTGGCTCATTCAGGAGCCACTGGAATGATCAATGACCGGGCAGCCGGGCTCTCCTCTCGCTGCCGGTGAATCAGCTGCCATCTGCCTCGTCCTGTTCCCTTCTCCATGGCGCAAGGAGCACTTGAGCCAAGGCTGACTCGCGTCTGGCTAATGGCTTTTCTGTGTCATGCTTTGTCCTTGATCCCATATATTTTTCATACGTAAGTGGGTTAGAGCTCCTGAAGACGTTGCAGTGGCAGATATTTCCCTTCCGCCAAGCTCCCCACTGAAGCCCCTGACAGGATCTGGGTTAAGGGGTATCTGCCTCAGAGGCAGAATCAATACTTTAAAAAAAAAAATCAAGGTGAAAAATCACATAATTTAAAACTGATCATTTTAAAGTCGATTCAGTGGCATCTGGTGCATTCAAAATGCTGCACAGCCACCACCTGTATCCAGATCCAAAACGCTTTCATCTCTGCAAAAGGGAACCCTGTGCCCATTTCATTCGTTTGCTAGGGCTGCTTAATAAAGCACCACACACTGGGTGGCTTAAACAACCAGATTAACGGTCTCACAGCTGGGGAGGCTGGGAGTCCAAGATCAAGGTGTCAGCAGGCAGGGGTGGTTCCGTCTGAGGCTGTGAAGGAAGGATCTGTTCCACAGCAATCCTTGGCTTGTAGATGGCTGTCTTCTGCCTGCATCTCTTCACATTGCCTTCCTTCTATGTGCATCTATGTCCAGCTTGTTTCTTTGTATGAGGACACCAGTCTTGTTGGATTAGGGCCCACCCTAATGACCTCATTTTAACTTGGTTACCTCTGTAAAGACCCTATATGCAAATAAGGCCATATTTGAGGTCACAAATAAGGACTTCAGTATGTGAATTTTGGGAGGCACGATTCAGCCCAGACTACCCATTAGGCAATATCAGTACTTCATTCCTTTGTATGGCTGAATAATATTCCATGGTAGGTAAACACTAATTTTTTGAACATCAGTACAAAGCAACTGCCAGGGAAATTTCCAGCCTCTGGGCAGCTGAGCATCCCCTTACAAGCCGGTGTGCCTGCCTGCATAGGGTGGAGTGTTGATCTCACAAGCGTATCACAGATTCCCAGCCTGGAAATGCTCTTTTCCTGTCTTTCTCCTTGAAAAGTGTCTTTATGAGTGCAAGTAAGAGCAGGACTGCTAAGAGAAGCCAGGTCAGGCATCTGGTTGAAGACACATTTAAAGACGGATTTTATATTTGATTTTCCTCTTTCCCTTTTCTTGTCTTGTCCTCAGCACTCCCCATCCACCAGCTCTCATTCACTCATACGTGCACGCATGCTCACACACACACACACACACCGTACACACTCTCGTGTTAAAATAAAAGCATTTTAAATGCAGATCACTCTGCGGTGGGGTGTGGCATGGGTAGGAGACACTGCCCTCTGAGAAGGCCTGCTGTGCCCATTGTGATGGTTACTGAGCCTGGATCCTCGCACCAGCCTCAGACCAGAGCTTTGTGGATTCTCCACACTCTCCCCTCCCTGCACCTGCCTCAGAGTGCAAGTGGGACCTTCAGACACGTGTGTCCTCCTGACTTCGTTGCAGAGTGTGCTGCTGACTTCACCTGCCCTCTTGATTCAAAGTCCGTTTCTCTCTCTTAGGCAGAGAGCCAGGAGTCCTCCATCCCTGCTGGCCTGGGATCTTTGGGCATAACGCAGAGACATCATTAGCTCATTCCTGACTCCGGCTCCTTCCCCATCCCAGGGCCTTGATGAGACCCTGTGCGTGTTGTTTCACACCGAATCTGTGGGAAGGACCACAGCAGGGTTGCACGGTCCCGCTTCTTGCCTCTGAGCAGGCTTCCCTCGCACAGAAGCTGGTTTTACCCCCTCCTTTCTCTCTCTCAAACTCTCTTCTCTGCTTTCCCCCCATCAAATTAGTTTTGCCACTTTGAAAGTTCACTGGGAAAAGAAGTACCTACTGGCCCAGGTATTTTCAGAGAGACAGGAAGGAATGTGGAACAGCTGAAAAATGAAGACAGGGCAGAAAATGTTTATATTGTATGTTGTTCTATAGTGATAATTTCCTGTAAGTACATGTGGCTTCTGGGACCTTGGACTGGCAAGCCCCACACTATTAGCAGAATTGGAGAAAGAGGGGTTAAAGTTACTGTAGGTTCACTGATGGACAGTGACTGTAATGGGGTATGTGTGGGGGACTTGGTGAAGGGGGGAGCCTAGTAAACATAATGTTCTGTAATTGTGGATTAATGATAACAAAATAAAAATAATAAAATAAAATAAAAGTAACTTTATATTAAAAAAAAGTTACTGTAGGTTATCCTTTTTGTGTATCAGCTTTTAGAACACAGGTCCCACTAATGGAGGGGCCTGGTCATCTGGAGTTTTTAAAAGCTTCTAGGTGATTCTAATGTCCAGTCACCTTTGAGAGCTGCTGTTCTAGAGGACAGATGCCTCCAGAAGAGTTGAAAATTCTGAGAGCGGTGATGGAAGAGATAGGTGACATCTACTCCTCTTGTGCAATGCAGTTAATTAGAAAGAAGGGACTGGAATGACACATCTTAGCCTTGTCATTTGCCAGACAAAACAAGACTTTAACTCCACTTAACCCTGTAGGCCCAGAGTGAAAGGGAGACCCCGGTGTTCTCATCTCCCTGCTGCTACCCATGGGCTGGCCACATGGGAGGCTGCAGCGCCCCCGCCTGCACTGTCAGGGTGACGCAGAATGTTCACGGGAGCGCCATGTCTGCCTTCTACTCACAGCCAGGTCTCTTCCACGCTGCACCAGGCCCATGTGTCTGCTTCCTTTATTCAGCTGAAAGTGCTGATAATTTAGTTGCCTGCTCTGCTGTGGTTGAAGGGGTTGGGGAGTGTTTTCCAAGGCAAGAGGTGGGCTGACCTCTGTGTCTGTGTGTTTTGTAGTACAAAATCGGTCAGCTCTACATGATCAGCAAACACAGCCATGAACAGAGTGACAGAGGAGAAGGGGTGGAGGTTGTCCAGAACGAGCCCTTTGAGGATCCTCACCATGGCAACGGGCAGTTCACCGAGAAGCGGGTGTATCTCAACAGGTAAGCCGGCAGTGGGTGGCCAGCCTCCAGGCTCACCCACCCACACAGGGGCACCCACACAGGCGCCTCCCACCTGGCCCCGAGCACAACTGAGGGGGAAACAGTGTCTGGAATAAAAAGGTGACTTAGAAAGTCATTGCTTCTGCCCTGTGCATCCACCACCCTGGTTGCTTCCCAATCGCCTGCGTTCTGCAGAACAGTCCTCAACTGCATTTTCATTAGGAGGAGCTTTTCTCTTGCCTTTCCCATCGCTTGCATGACTTGTTACGATGAAATCTGATCTTAAGGACTTCGCCTTCTCCCTTGGTTCGGTGTCAGCAGTAGGAAAGATGGCTTTGCCTTGTAAGTTGTAGACAAGTGCGGATGGTGGCAGTGTGACTTGGTGAGAGTTCCACTTACTGCCAGGTAACCACTAATGTGGACACTAAGGGAGCTGACAGAGCACATGGTCCCTGTGACCAAAGTGATATGCATTGCTGAGGTATTTTCCATTTTCCAAGTGGACCCATCCTTTCTAAGGTAGAGGTCTCGCCTCTCCTTTTGGAAGGGTAAAGAATGAGGATTATAAACCAGCTCTAACCAGGACTACTGTCATTTCTGCTTTGCCAGGTGTATTCTTTAATCTCTTGCTATATTCTTATCATTAATGGCATAATTGATTATTGCAGCTTGTCTGATCTTTCCACACTGTGCTCCCTTCCAGCCCATTCTTTTCCATTCTTCTCTTCTAGGTCTGAACATTTGTAGTCACATGACATATGGAATGTATTTTATTGAAATAAACTGTCTACTCCTGTGAACCAATGTATAACTAGCCTGGTCGTTGCTATCATTTCCATGAATATTTTTTATTTCACCTGTGGCCTCTCCTTTTGGCCTATTCAGAAAGCATTTCCAACACAAAGTGGACAGTGCCCCAGTGTGGTCACTGACACTTGTGAGTATTTATCCATCCCCAGGGCCTTGACCATGGTCAGATGTTCCTGGGAGGAGCCACATTTGGAGTCCACCATTCGCACATGGCCTTCCCCCCTCCTGCAGGCTGAAGTGATCTATTCCTTCTCCATGGGAGAGTGTGAGTCTTGTCACAAGGGCATGTGAAAATCTTTCAGGCCAATATCCTGACAGTGAAGGCCTTGAGCTGGTTAAACCAACACATTTTAATCTGTCCAGGGAATGCAGTGTCAGGGAATTCCTGAATCACTTTGAAATGCAAATGAGATTGATCCTGTTTGTCTATTAGGAGCTGTGAGTTCCCAGGATTTGGAACCAGTTCAGCCTCCAGCCAGCTGTTGATTTGCAAGAGTAACTGAGCTCTGGGTCTGGCCTGGGGAAGGCTTCCTTACAGAGACAGGTTTCTCTATATGCTGCTTTGGCATTCTTAGTGTGGAGGGTGTTAATCAAATATTGAGCAGGGATTGCCTCTGAAGAGCAAAGAGAAGTGAAGGAAATGCAAGAAAGTAAATACAGACCTGTGGAAAATTCCATTTCTTGACAGACAATTGCATTTTCCCAAATTATTGCCTGGAGAATGTTCCCTATGTACCAAATTCAAGAAAAATGTAAGGAAACTTCATAACTTTTCCTGAAGCAGGATAAAGTATCCAGCTGTCCTATCATACCTGTTTTCTTTATCAAAATATATGATATTTATTTTAAAAGAGAATAATAAACATTAGTAAGAGGGAAATGTGTTATAAATAGAATATTTGGACTTCCAGTAATAGTAACTAAAAAGATTAATGTGGATCCTCCCCCCAACTCCCATGACAAACACAGGATGAAATACACAATATAAAGCTGAGTTCAAAACAAAGAAAGGGAAATCCTCAGGTACCAGAAATAAAGAGGAAACTCAAACCAGTGTAGAAAGCAGATGACCTGATGCTAAAGAAGCTGGCAGTGGGGGGGGAATGTTAGAATTGAGTGCAAGCCATGACAGCTAGGGGTGAGGGTGTTATGTCCACTGGAGCACTGGAGGTGAGAAATGCGGCCCTGAACCCACTCAGATGAGGGCTTGGAATTGAGAACCATACATCAAAGTTGGTTTAACAACCAGGGTCTAAGAGAGGTTACTACTCAGAGACACACCTTGAAATAACTACTCAAGGATGTACTTGAAGTAAAAGGAAATTGAACCCAAGGAAGAAGAGACATCTGAAAGTCATAATAAACAGATAAACTGGTAAACATCTGGGAAAATCTGAATGAGCATAGAATGTTTTAAAAATACCAATAATGAGTACTTGGGGATATATACATGGAATCTAAGTAATAGACAATAATAGCAGAGGATGAGAGGGTAGTAATTAAAGCAAATTATAGTTCTAATACTGCTTAGGAAGAAGAGAGAAATGTTAATTAATTTAAAAAAATTTTAAGGCAGGTGTGCATATTCAAAATGTAAAGGTACCTCTAATGGAATAAAAACAAAACAAGAGAAAACTTGATCCATCCAGTAGAAGGTAGAAGAAGAGTAAAGAGAAGCCTACAAAAATGTGGTAAATAGGAAACATAACTTTGATGGCAAAATAAAATAAAATATATCAGTGGTCACAATAAAGTTATGTGAGTTAAATCGTAAATTGGAACTTAGCTCAGCAATATATGGCAACACTGGCAAAATCACAAGGACCCTAAAATTGTAACGGGAAATTTTACCATAACTTTAATGGACAGACAGATCAAGTGGACGAATAATCTAGCTAACATAGACAGTATGTGAACAACAAAATTGCAAGGTTTTAGTGGACATTGATAGACCCTGGAATCAACATGCTTTTCAAATGCATATGAAAATTTACAGACTGGCCAGAAGTCAATCCCCATAAATATCAAACAATATTATGTAAATCCTTTTGCTGATTACAAAGCATTATAATAAGAAATTGATAACAAAAAAATCAACATTTTCATCATTTAGAAATGTAAAGAGGTCTAAATAATTCATGGGTTGAAATCTGGATACTTACTTTCCCAGCCACCTTTGCAGCTAGGGATGGCCATGTGACCTAGTTCTTCTGATCGATGAGGCATTAGATTTTCCTCCCAGATAAAAAGAGAGAGATGTTTAAGAGAGGCATGATCTGCTTCTAAGAAAGGGAGAGGAAATCGATGGTGACTGCTGAGAAGGTAATTAATAGGGCTTACCACATGAACTTTCGACAACAAAACAGAGCAATAATAGTACAAAAAGGAAACTTATAGACCCATCTCAGTATCAAATACATGAAAATCCTATATAAAACATTAGCAAATCAAGCATCTCAGAGTATAATAATAATAATAATAAGTTATAACCTGATCACATTTATCCTGACTGTTAATGTCAGTATGTGAATTCAGCAAGATTGCTGGGTATAAAATCCATATACAAAAATCAATAACACTGTTATACAGCAGGAACAGTAAAAAGAGAATATAATTTTTTTTAATTCCATTTCTAATAGGAAAAGAAATTTAAGGCACCCAGAAACGAATCGCAAGATATACAAAATCATTTTGGAGAAAAATATAAAACATTAGTGGAGGACGTTTTAAAAACCTTAGACAAATGGCAATATAATTGGGTGGGGCACACTGTATTATAAAGTTGCCATCAATTCCCAAATCAATTATAAATTTATTGCAAATCCAATTAAAATGGTAACAGGTTTGTTTCTAAAATAGAATTTGATAATATATAATCATAAATTGCCTAATTACTATAGCTTTATAAAGATCCTTGATATCAGGTAGGGCAAGTTCTTCCTACTTATTCCATTTTTCCAGAATTGTTCATATGAATTTTAGGATTAGAAACCCAAGTGATAAGAATGACTGGACAAACCAAGGATATTTTCCATAGAAAAGCTAGACTCAGGGTATACAGTGGTGTAGTCAGGTGGGAGAAGAATTAGGCTTATATAGTTTATAAGACCTCAGAAGGGCCAGTTGGACCAAGACCAGTGGGTGAGAAGGCCTGGAGAAAGGTTTAGGCTCAGTTTAAGGAAGAACTCAATTCGAGTCTGAGAGCCACGTGAGAGCGCAGTAGGGCGCCTTATAGGCGATTACAGTGTCGCGGGGGCACTGGAACAGGAGCGGAGCATTCACTCCGCAGGCTGTCCTCCAGCAGATTCAAACGTGAGATAGGTCGTTAAACCTTTCAGATCGTTTCGACCCTGATTCTCTATGCACAAAGTGTGTTTCAGACACTCTTCTGACTCCTCCAGCATATACATAAATGAGTACCCACTGAGGCACACGAAGAAAAGGACTTTCATTTCTTTTTGCACAAGTCTAACTAAGCCCATCATTATATAATTTAAAAGGCTCTTGGCATATTTAGGAAAATATGGGCACCTCTCTTAGAACCAGGGAGATTATGGTTTAGTAAGAGAGAAAGAAAAATTGATATGTGCCGTGACTATAAAACAGTAAGATGAGTTTCCATGACCATTAAATGAAACCAAATCCATCACTTTGATACAAACTAGAGCCGCCTCAAGTTAACACAAGTTCTTCATGCATAGTTCATGGAACTGTCATGTTGGCAAAACTGCTTTGTAATCAAAACTCATGTATTTATTGAAATTTTTAATGTACACCATTGTTCTATATTGGAGAGAATCCCTTAATAAGTAAGACCTGGTCCTTGCCTTCCGATCAAAGTGGGGTCCTAGACCGCTGGTTCCAGCACTTGTGAGTCCTTCTGTCTATTCCTGTCAGTAGCATCAGGGAGGAAAAGTTTTCCTCGACCCACTTAGGGTCAGTGACTAGGGGCCTGCAACTTAAACTGAAAATGACATATTTACAGGAGAAAAGAAAGATTTTTATTCATATATGTACATGAGGGACCAAGAAAAATGTGACACAAACAGGAGGTTAGAATTTGGGCCTTAAATAACATTTTAAAAGGGGAGGGGTAGAAAAGTACTTAGGCAAAAACAAATGACTTTTATGAAAAACAAATTGGGCCTTGCGAGAATGGATAAGGATACGACGGTTTTGTGACAATGTCT